GTAAGCATGCTCTCACAGACAACCCGTATACTCATAAGCTGCTTAATCGCAACCCTAAACCTTAAAAACTAAACCCTAATCCCTAAACCCTAAACCCTAAACCCTAACCCTGAGCCTCAAATCCTGTGCCCTAAACCGCTAAACCCCCAACCCCTAGACCCTAAACCGCTCAACCCTATGTCCTAAACCCTAAACCCTAAACCCGAAAGCCGCTAAACCCCTAAACCCTAAAACCCCTAAACCCTAAAGCCTAACCCCAATTTCGGGGGCCTCAGTCGAGTGGGTTCAGGGGTTTTGTATTCCTTGGCGCAGGTTCCGGGCTTAGATCGTAAGGGTTTAGGGCTTAGAGTTTAGGGTTAAGGGCTTAGGGTCATTTTTGTCCAGGGTTGTGCATGTCGATGTAGAGTTCCTGGCTAGGGTTCCTTTATGGGTTGAGGGTGTCCCGTTTATATGCCCTAAACCCCAAACCCTCAAGCCTAAACCCTAAGCCTTTTGGATGCAGCTTGTAGCTTTGTCGCGGCCTCCTTCCCCATCAGCCAGGAGGACGAGAACGGCGACACCAAAGTGCGCCGTGGAGAGGACTGGCGAACGGCCACAACTCCACCGTCAAGGCATTCGACGTGCCGACGCACCACTTCCTCCGAGTCTTTGGCCACGACCTGCTGAACGCATACCGGCAGTGGCCGATGAAGCACCCGGCCCACTCCGGCACTACTTGCCGGCGCCTGAGGGAGTCACCATGTGGTTCCACATGGCGATGTGCTTTGGCGCGGCGGCCTCCGTTTGGAACTTCAATCGGACGGTGGACGCACTCCAGGCGCTCAAGCGGGTGCTCCTTTGGGTAGGTTCCTATCACAGGGCCCGGGTATAGGGCCCTAAACCCCAAGCCCTACATCCTGATCCCTACACCCGAAATCCTAAAACGAACCCCTAAACCCTAACCCCTAAAACCCTAAACCCTGAACTCTTAACCCCAGAACCCTAAACCCTGAACTCTAAACCCTAAACCCCTAAACCCTCAAACCCTAAACCCCAAACCCTAAGCCCTGAACTCTAAACCCTAAAACCCTAAACCCTCAAACCCTAAACCCCAAACCCTGAGCCCTGAATTCTAAACCCTAAAACCCTAAACCCTCAAACCCTAAACGCCAAACCCTAAGCCCTGAACTCTAAACCCTAAAAAAACCCTAAACCCTAAACCCTAAACCTTAAACCCTAAACCCTAAACCCTACACCCCTGAACCTTAAACCCTAGACCCTAAACCGTAAACCGTAAACCGTAAACCCTAAACCCCTGAACCC